GGTTCTCGAGAGGCGCTCATATTCGATATCAACAAGAGCATGATAATTATTATTTTCTACTTGTATGAGTTATTTAATTTTTATTCGGATTGAGCAAGGTATTATTCGGGTTTCTCTCGGACGCTGTAAACAGTTAGTTGTTCGTTTTTCGTTAAAACTCCAGAAAAAGTACTAAAAAAGAAACGGAAAAATTGAAATCACTTCGAATATTAACGTCGGTAGTAATATCCCATAGGCACGATCAATAATCTTGTTATGTAAAATTCTTGTTCTAGAGGAAACACCAAACAACACTTATACCTGAAGGGGATTATGTAGGAAAATACATATTATCGTCATGTGAGTTCTAACAACACCTAACTCGATTTCCCCGACTTTACATAAAAACTTATTTCTTTCATTAGGAAATACATTCATTTAGACGGTAGGTATTGGTTTTTCGTGAATTAGCCAAACTTCTTGTTTAGTTGTTGAACCCCAAGAAATAATTACAACAATTCAGGTTCAATAACCCGGTTCTGGCAGAATGTACAATTATTACTATAGTTGGTATATTTACTCAGAGGGCGAACGTTATTTATTTTTTATAATTATTTCACGTTATGCCTACATCCGTATATTTATTATTTATTACCGTTTTTTTGTGGTTTTTGCCCTCTTCCGCTCGCCATAATAATATGTTTAATTAAACTCCGGCGGTCATCGAGAAAGTCACGGATTTTCAGAAATCAGAGGCCGAAATGATTGCTATCGGTCGGCCGGTGGTCAGTGGTCGTAATCACGATGTTGGTCAGGTAGATAAAAAAATCAAAAAAAAATCGGACGTACCCTCCCGACCGCAAACGAACCGAATTACCTTTCTCGGAAACGTTGCCACCCACACAAACCCTAACCTGTGTGTGTGCCGGCAACGGTATAATATAATTTTTTTTAACACTGTTAAAGACTTTGAAAATACCGTGATGTCTTTTTTCTTCTCCGTTAACGCAGGCTCCCAAACATGATGACACGGTCTTGTGTGTATACTCGCGTGTGATCGAGCTCTGCAGGAACGTTACCCGAATAGATAATGTCATACAACCGACACTATATAATACAATATATAATAGCCGGACCGCTTGTTATACACACACACAAACACAGGTATAGGACACAACGTACCGGAATTCGTATTGTTCTTTTGACTATAATACTTATACACATGCATTATAGCCGAACACACCGGAATGCATCCCCGGGGCCATCCGCACCGCGTTTCTCGGTCCTTGTCATCGCCGTCTTGCTTCTGGTATACAAGCATTATATCGTTAATACGATTCCGATAATAACGCCATAGTACACACCACGTCATTCTATTCGGCCGGGTCCACGAGAAGTAAATCGAAAAACCGCCACTGGACATTGTGGAAAGCGGTGGTTGTTATGGCTCGTTTTCATCATCTTTATTGTGTGCTCGTAGAGTAGTCGTCGCCGATACGATATAGGTAGTACATAATATTATGATTATTTAAAGTAACCAACACTAATTCGTCACAACGCCAGACCCGAGAGAAAGGAGGAGCTTATGGGATTCCCAGGGGCTACGCTAATAGCGGTCAGGCGTCAACCGTGGCGATTGATAAAATACAAATAAATAACAATAACGTAACGCGCGTGACCGACGAGGGAAACTTTTTCTTTTTCTTCTTCTTGCAAGTCCCATGTCGGCCTGGAGGCGCCAGACGTGTGATACCGTGGTAATTACCGTGCACATTGGCAGTGATATTTGCCAATGACTTGCGCTCGAAAACCACAGACCGATTGTTAAATAGCAATAACAATAAGCCAAGTGTTGTAGGTGCATTCGAAATCGGGTCACCCAATTGTTGTTAAAAGAAAAGTTGTTTTCAAATAGTGCTAAGCTTCTTTTTTTTTTTTTGTCCCGTGGCATAACACCCAGAATGGTCTAGTTAAATTCGATTAACGCGATTGGAACGTTGTAATACTTTGGTCCGTTCCATTTCCAGTCAACACAAATAATAAGTTAAATATTTAAATTACAATATTATTGTGAACTGGCACGCAACAATTATTAAAAATTAGAACAGCCAACTCTGGAAGAAGTCAGAACAGTGAGGTCGGAAATAGAAAATTGTGATAAAAGTTCAAATAACCAATTTCAATTAAACGCTTCTGTGCGAGCCTGTTGTGACACTGGACGATGTTTTTAAAATTATTATCCTCTTTTAACACAAATAATCTTCTTGTAGACTTGTCTTAATTTTTAATGATTGTGGCCCTTTTTGCCATTGTAGCGAATGGATTTAAATTTAGAAATCTGCAAATACAAAGCTTGACAAGCTTAATGGTCTGCCCTCCTCATTACTACGTCCAATAATACAGGTTTATCACCCCTATCTCCTTCCCCCCAATAATTTCCCACGGTTTCATCAACTGCATCTTTCCCGTGAAAGTATCTCCTCCCTTCCTAGACTCAGAGAATTGGACCCAACTTACTCCCTGTTCATGCTTATGAATCTTATCTTAATTTGTTTACATTTTACTATTGATCAGACGGCACCATTCGATTTCGGATTCAGATCGAGAAAATCCGGTCAAGCTTCAGCCAGGAGATAAAAAGTCTTGCACACGGGCACAAAAAAAAAAAAAGGAAAAGACATACTATTGTAAAACTAATAGATTGTCAGTTTCGCTTTGAATAGCCAACACACGTCACATTGTAAATCTAATAAACTATCCGTACCCGCGTCGAAGCTGGAATTAATTGGATTTTTTTTTGTTTTTAATGAAGGAAACGTTTAACGGTGGGATTTATAGTCGTTGTCAACCGTTTATAAGCGACACTTAGGTATCTGATTGCAATGCGCGTATCGGATGTAGTAATTGCGTAAACGGAGGGAACCTCTGGCGTTTGTAATAAATCCTTTTGGATAGTATCTGTGTGTGCTCACCTTGAACATGTCCAACGACACCCCTCGAGCCGTTTGTCATAATATTATTATCGATGGTGTCGACCGTATCGCCAAGGAATTATTGTAACAGACCAATCGAACGCAAAACAACACACCAGACTAAAAAACCTATACCACCGGCGCGGTCGCCTGAGGTGAAAAACAATATTCTAAACAAATAAACGACTCGTCGTGGTAGCCAAAGTAAGTGGAGTCAATCGATGAGGCGCGTTGTATCGGTCTGCATAAAAAAATACTATCTGGTAAGAATATCCAGACACGCGATACGACCCGAACGAGAGAGGCTGGTGTGATCGTCGCGTGCTAACACCTTTGTCTCTTATGAGTCTTCTCACCACCCCCCCCCCCCCTAAAAAAAAAGTGCCTCGAACGTGCAAGAACTTAGGTAATCTCGTCGCCGTATTGAGATCATCGGAGGGGTACTTACAACATATATGCTAAGCAGTATTGCTCAACTACAGCACGGTGCAGATGCACGATTTTGGATCGGTTTCACACTCCCAACAGAGTGTGCAAACAGATGCATTAAATGATTTAACTTCCAACGTCGAGACTTCGTGCCCGACGAAGCAGTGGACCTCGCCTGTGTCTTCTAGCACTTATAAAAGGGGGTAAATAATAAAAGATGCAATATTGTTACATAAAAATAATAAACAATCAACAATGCCTTTTTTTAACGATGTGATGGTAAAGTGTTTCAAAGCGTGTTATTCGCAAATAAAAAATATAGGTCTGTAAATAAAAATTGTATTTATAGCTAATTTTATTGCGACTATCCCATTTGATTATGATGATAAAATATAATTTTCTAACGGATTCGTGTGTGTTCACAAACTATAACTGAGAATAACGAACGCAGCCACTAAGCCGGTTTTAATTATTATGAGATATAAGTTCTTATCACGCCGTATTGCAGAGTGTACAAAATATATTAACGAAGGCGTTAAAAATGGGCATTATTTTTTTAAAATTTATCATCAGTGATAACTGATGAGATAATACGACACATAAATCCCATAAAGTAATTAGTGATAAGAATTGATTATCTCTGTTGGTGGTATATACACTTGGTAATCTAGTTTATTGTATATATATATATCTGTGCATAAAGATGACTTCTGTTGTAGATAAGCCGATGTGGCTTCGCTTCGTTTTTTGGTCGACATAATAACAATATTATGAAAGTCGGTAATTTAGCAAATCCACGCGTATATGCGCTGTATAACAACGTTGTACACAGTTTAACAATATTGAGTCTGTGCAATTTGTAATCGTTAAACAGTGCAAGTATTAAAATAGATATACGTTGTTAATCCTTCCGATGGTTGTTAACAAAACGACAAGTGCGTTTTTTTTCACGGCTCTGTTTCCAAAACGGGGGGCGTGAAGGTGGAAGGGTGGGGTGAAGGGGAACGTCTGACAAAGTTCTCACAACCCTCGGTCGTCGGTCACGAACCGCCGGGAACGTGTCTCGGAGCGCGTTCCAAATGATGTCGACTTGACAAAAAAAAAATTTTAAATAAAAATTCCTAACGCTAGGAGAGAACTTAAGACGTTCGGACACGCGCGCGAGACTAAAATATCCTACACAAATATCATAAAGTATCGCACGCCGATTTTATTACAATAATAATAACATCACATAGTACGTTATATGTTATTATGTGACGTATAATAATAATATATGTGACGGAATACGTGATTTGCCAAACAAACATTTTGTGTATTAATATAAATCAATGTTTCCCAGAGCCGGGGTCGGGGGGGGGGGCAGCTGGGATAAGTATTGTTACGGAATAGATGAAAGCGGCAGAAGGGTCACTTAGACCCTTAGACGGATATTATATACATTATAGTGGTGTAGTCTTAAGAAGACGGCAGCCGCGTGTTTGTGTGATAACTGATAAGTATCTTCTTCGAGTTAATTTTTATCAGTGGCCTGGCACTGTTGCCGACAGCCGACTGTTGAGAATTTCTTTTTTCTTTTTCCAAAATATGAAATATTGTAAAAAAAAAAAAAAAATGTACCTGATGAGATGTTCGGCCAGAAATCGTCCTCGTCGTCCTGGTGCACGGGCATTTCGTGACAGATTATGTCCTGTAAGACCGGCTACAAAACAGATAACACTAGTTGTTACTCGACCGCAAAATCGGATGCGATTGACATAGAATGCTTTATATAACTATGTATATATGTATGTATGTATATTTGTATTGTGCTTATATTGTATATTATACCGGACATGTACGAAACACCAGACAAGAACACAGCCGATACGGTTTTTTTTTATGTTTTTGAAACCTCAAAGATAAAGTTTTTGATAATACATTGTGTACCACTCTTTTTCCGGTCGGTCGGCCGGCGTCGGATTTCAATGGACCTCGTCGTGTGTTCGGCACATGTGCTGTCAATGAAATTGTGTCATCTGTGTGTGTGTGTACGGTGTTGTTAGCATGTAATAGTGGCGCTATATATCTACTATAATATGAGAGACACAATGATAAAATATAATATTCACATCCCCCGGACTCGTGTACCCGTAAACGCATTTGGGATCGTTTCTCGAATCGATATTCCACGAGGATCCGCCTACCCGAATTCGTCAAACAGCACAAGACGTAAGAAATAAGACAGAAAGAGAGAGGTAGAATAAAACAAAACAGGTCAGTGTGCAATATGTTATATTATGTCACAGAGGTGGGCAGTATAATTTGAGTTACCATATTGAACAAGTCAAGCAAAAACATATTGTAATTGGTAATTAAACGCATTCGTTTACAGTTAGTTTGCAAAATTGTTTAGCCGATACTTACAAACTACTATTTAAATTTTAGACAAAAATATGGGGGGGTTGTATGATGGCGGAAACCACTAAGGAATTGATAATAATACGCCGTATTCAATAAAACATAACCCGGTACATTATTTAATAAGCATTATATTATTTTAGTTATTTCATTGGTAAAAAAGTTTAAATAAAGATTTTGAAAACTTTTCTATTTCTAGATATATTTTCAGTCTATTGTATAGACCTTAAAACCAAAAAAAATAAATAAAAAAAGGTAAAACTCATCTGTGGAAATTATTAATAATATTTCTTTGGTTTTTGACTATATTAATTATTATGTATAGGTACTATATTATATAGGTTAGGGTTGTATACAAAACCTATTTCGACAATCTCTTAGAAAGTTAAAACGTACTTTACTTAAAAATTACCAAATATATTCATTTTTAGAGTATTCTTATCGCTTTTTAAGGAAAGAGGGAGGAACTTTTCAACATTTATTAAACTTTTTTATTAATGCAACAACATTTTATTAGTTTTTCGGCATTTTTTGAGAGAAATTGATGGTTATTAATGTAATAAAGGTACAATAATTGTTTTAAGAACAATTTTGTAATTATATAATTTTTTAGAGCATTATGAGTAGTACCTATATGTTATGATTAATTTGCCCACCCCTGGTAGGTTAGGTCGTAGGTATTGGCTCGGTCCAAAAACAATGGGAGGAAAGTCGTCCGAGTATTATAAAGCAATTCGATTTCCTCATTCTGATGCGGGAATAAATTAATAACAGTAATAATATCTTATAGGAAACCAATTTTTGTTCGTAAGAAACCCATTACAGCGGCAGACGAGGCTGAGAGCGCTGAGAAACTTGAGTTAAAAATATGATAAATGAAAAAACAAAAAAAAACCATTAGGTGTACTACTGTCGGCGGTTGGACCGTACCGAAACAAGGAGTCATATATAATTGATACCTAAGAGGTACGGCGAGGCCACATACATTTATCTCAGTCTATCAACTATCTATCTATAATATCATTGGAGTGTACCTATTAAAACACATATACATACACACACACACACCCATAATAGGGCCATCTGGTCGAAATCGAAAGACAATTCATGCGGATTTGAATTTATACCGACGGTGACAAATTAAACGCTTTATAATTTTTGTTTGTTGCCCGTCCGTCGTCATAACTATCAATTATGTTCGTTAACCGAGACAAAGGATATGACTTGGACCTAATCAACAGGGTTAACGATGGTTAGGAAAAAACTAAGGAAAATAAAAACTGGGTTTTTTGAACATATCTCATCGAGAGGTCGGCGGCCTCGTTTGCGGTCGACCAACGGCTTGTAAAACAAATACGAATGATCGTCGCCAAACCGGTCGTCAAACGAAATCGCGGTCTCGCCTTGTGTGTTCGCGATGAACCCCTGGGCAGATCACATTTTGGGAACCCCGGTTTTGGTCGTGATTTACACTGCACACAGATCTCTCCCTCCGGTCGAAACTGCACGCCGTACTACACAACAATATCGATCCCCCGAGCCGACGACCCTTTTTGAAATTTGTTTTTTATCGCCCGCCAGATGCACCTGTATGCGCCAAATTCGAAAAACGCGCCTACATGCCCTGGGCGTAAATCCAACATGACCGTGTTGTATTCGCTTGCACGCGCCATCCGACAAACGAAAAGAGTTCATCAACTCGAACAAAAAAACCCAACTGCCCCTTTTGATCTACATCCCCTTTTTTGTTTATACAGACCCACCGCCAGAGCAAAGCCAATAGTGGAACAATGGGAAAAAAAAACGATAATGCATAGCCAGCTAGCAAAAGAACATATTATTATTACTATATGCAAATATAAAAGTAAAAACTTAAAAAAAGTGTTATAACATTCGGCTCAACGTAGTTTTTCGAGATTTTTCCGTACAAGGATTATTAACGCAACTTTATTACCCCCGGTATTTTTTTTTTAAATTTACAACCCACCTGTAATTCATGACCGTGAAAGTTTCTCATATGTATTTTTGTGACGGAATAACTTATTTCGCTGGGCTGGGTCCGGCGGTTAGCGTTAAGTCTCGCCTTCTCCTCGGGTACACCGTGTCCCGGTGCAACGGGGAGGTGGGGGAATAGGAGGAGGACTGGGCCGTGAAAAGCGCCATTAAACGATCACGACACTCCAACAGCGGCCGTGGGCGATTTCCAAGTGTCGCAACCTTTAAGTCGCATGTCCTCGCCACGCCTAGCTCACGTGTGTGACTCACAGCCAAGACAACGATCGGATAACGTTAGAAAAAACTTGAAAATCCTACCCGAGCACGCTAAATACAAAGTATGCAGATCCTCGGCCGGCGTTCGAGGCATTGGCGGCAACTAGACGGGGGTTTAAGGAAGTTCAGACCTTTTAGAAACTCTTGAGAGCTCCGTCAGAATTTCAGTAACAATATTATCACCATTACTTGGAGACTGTGCCCGATTGGTTGCTGAAATTTTTTTTTAGAACCTGGACAAGTTTAGAAGGATTTGAACTTCCCCAACCCCTCCTCCTCTAGTTGCGCCAATGGCTCATAGGTCCAATACAAATACAAATACATACACATATATATGTACACATAAAGTACAGCTACCATTTAGTTTGAACGCACCTAGAACAATTATCGGTCGTGAACAATTAATGAGCGGCGCTGTAATCCTTGTATGTAGAGCACTTGTCGGCACTTAGTTTATAAACCGCATATATACATAAAACCGTACGACGGAGTCTGCACACGCTCCGGTAGGGTTAAAAAACGACACTCGAGTTTCAAAAAAACGATGAAAAACCCCCAAAAAAAAAAACGTTGGCACTTGCACGGAAAAATCAAAAAACGGGCAACGCACGCGCACACTACACGACGGTCCAACGGTCGTTGTGCATACATACACACTGCACCGGTCCACGCACACACTACACAATATGCACTGGCTGGAACACAAACCGACACTAACAACACACACACACAACTGCAGACGGTCCTCCTCACGCACTCACACAAACACACGAGGATAGCGCTTCCGACGGTCCAACCTGTTGACCCCTACCGCGTCGCCTCCGTTTTTATTTTATCACTCGGCTATGAAAATGATTCTCATAACGATACGGTTTTTATTATGTTTTTGGCATCTTTTTATCGACACGAATATAATAATTAGTGTTACTAAAAAAAAAAAAAAAGCCCGTAAAATCATCAATGACGTGCAAAATATGACCGTTCCAATATAATAAAATAGTACATATTATTAGCGCACTGTCTTTTCAACAGGACAGGTGGGTAGCACCGGTAATTATTCACAGTAACCGTATAAAATGTTTACAGAGAACAACTTTATCCGCGGGGTAGCGTTTTTAGTTTTTCGATAACTTAAGCACCGATCGAGTGAATCGAAATTATATTTTGGGCACTAACTGTTGGCGGAAAAGTAAAAAACAGTTATTCTAGAGTTTTTTGATACAATTTTTTTATTTCATGTGAATGCCCGGATAACATTTACCTTGGGAAATTAATTAAATAGAAAGAATATATTTAAATAATAAAAAAGTGCGGCAGGATGTGGCACGCTGTATAAATGTCAGAGCCGACCATCGTTACTGCCGAGTCTTAAGCAATGTTGACCATTATAATTGTTTACGGACGGGTTACTTTCCATATCCCAACAACTAATTAGGCAAATAATGTTGGAATTATGTTAAAATAAAACTAAAAAAATAATCATTTGATTAAATTCGTAAAACAGGTTGGACAAACTCGCATTAAAAATAAAGTTCATATTTGATGATTTTCTTTTTTTTCATTTACTCCTTGGGATTTTTTTTGTTTATAGATATATTAAATAGATTGTCATGGTTTAATGTTTATCGGTAGACATAAAAATGTACGTTTTTTCGAAGTGCAAGCAACGACTGATCGAGTAAATAAAAACCAAACTAACTATATTCATATTCATTTGAGACCGACCGTAATCCTAAGATGCTGATACATTTGATATTCGTTCGGTTTCACGTGTATTTCTTTACATCGTTTCCTTCATAACGTATGCGCGCAATGACAGGCATTGACAAGACGCGGGTTGGAAACACATCTTTTGAGTTGCTGCGGTTATATTATATTATATATATCATAATATATTCATTATAAAACATCAACGTCAGCGGTTGCAAGCCGTAGGCGTAGAATATGTGTTTGCTCGAAACACGGTGGTTAATTCATAAACGTGTTGTGCGATTAATATAAACGGTGTTTATTGGCTTAAGTAGCTGCTGTTGGCATAACTGCTGTATCGAGGCCAGTACCGGTCAGTAAAGTTTGCGGCAAAAGTTAACGGACGTTTTAGCTGATTTTGTATGGAGTAATGCCACGGCTATACCTAATAACGCCCACGTGGACTCAGTATTGCCATTGGTTTAAGAAAGTATGTATATACAAACGGAACGTCGGATGTAACGTCGCCGGCGTTTCCCGTTTGTGATTTGTGTCTCACACGTTATTGCAAAATCCGTGTATGCATCAATGCTTGTATATAGTCAGTCAAACGTCTTGTAACAACTAACATCTATTAGTTTCTGCCACACAAGACGGATTGAACGACTCAGTTGATTTAGGGACGACAATAACCGGTGATTCGATGAAATATTCCCCAGAATAATGTACCCGCAGGAATAAGTGATCCGCAAAAATATATTATGAAGCCGAATTTGTTTGGAAATTAGCGAGGAACAATAATTAGATTTACAAATTTTGATGATCACAAAGTCTAGCATAACAGTTAACATACCTTAACCTAACAGGATCAAAAACATATTCAAAATACAGTTCAATCAGCTCTAATAGTAGATAATATGTACATTGTACGATTGTATTAAAATTGCAAATACTATAATATAATATTTCCGAGGCTCATGTAGTTGAAACATGCTGAAAATAGCACAAAACCGCGATATTCATCACAACTTCAAAAGTGGAAACTATACATAAGCACAAAATTTGCATCCCGATTCGGATACAGGGAGAAAGTTCCTGTACAACGGATGTATTTAAAATTCTTATGCCAAAAAAATAAAATAAAACCAGTTTAATCTGAGTAGTAAATTGAATTATACTTATCATAAATTATTTATAGTAATTAGGAAACTTTTATTTAAGAAATACAACACTTTTTTTTTTGTTTTAGTTTAATATATTAGTACAACTTATAAATTATCAAAAGGTTATTACTCGTTTTATTATCGTTTTCCACTTAAATGAGTAGATATAATTTAAAAATTAAATAAATAATTATTATTATAAGAAAATAGTAATACTCATTACAGAAAGAAAAATGTTTTTGGTGTACTAGACTGTTTATTTTTATCTAAAATGTATGCTGTAACAAAAATTTTTAAATGTTACTTTTTCCGTGGGAAATTTTTTTTCTAATTGATCACTTTTTCGGGGACAAAAATTATTTCCGAAAAATTCAGAGCCTAAGTTTAAGTTACCGTTACCGGTCGTAGGTATTGACTACCTAACCGCATTGTTTACACGGTGAGCTATACTTAAATCAATAGCTAATTGTTTTCACGACACTTAAACTGTTCAATACAATATAACCTATTATAATAAAATATAATGACAATGTTTCAGTCGACATTATTGTAAAGCGCTATTGAATACTTTTTTATTTTTCCCGAATTTCTTTGTGTGGTGCGTCCGGGAACATAGCCAATGGTATAGAAGCTTCCAATTAAAACGCACATTCTCGCCCTGTGATAATATTCTAATGGATAGTATACGGCCCAAAGGGCAATTTTCCTCTAGCGCCTTAATTGCCATAAGACTCTAAACACCACGGAGCGATGCACTACACTCAAGTCTTAAAACGTTCTGTCCATTAAATACAATTATTATTATGATGATGATGATGATAAACGCTCTGAGAGCATATCTGTGCTGAACAGCTTGTGTTATATATATCACAATATTGTATTACATGTGCCGCAGTTGAACGCGTCTAGGTGCGAGAGGTCATTTAAGAAAACCCACTTATTAACAAAGCAATCGCTTTTGTTTGTTAACGGAAACGGAACAAATATTAAAATGATCCTGTTTTTCCATTAGCTTATATAAAAATATAGTTTTATATTTGTAAATCAAATACACGGCCGTGGTAACTGATCACAGTTGCATTAATATTATTCAATTAATAAATTACCATAATAATTGTGACCAGTATATTTGTATAAGATTGATTACAAACAAATCATTATCAACAGCCATGGCGTGGTTTAGTGGTTATCTCAGCTGCTGTTGTCAATCGGCATCTGAGGTTAAGTGTGAAAAAACCGAACGTTTTTGTTTATCCTTTGTAGCTAAAAAAAAAGGATTGGAAACACTGGACAAGCTGCACAAGTCCAGATTGAGATATGGAAAAAAATAAATATATTTTGATTTTTATCAGATCTGAACTGTACTTGAATGGCTCATATTATTGGTAATAAATGTACAGTTAAAATTCTACTCTAGCTGTATATTTAAAGAAAACGGCTAAACAAGAACAGGGAAGAGTCGTTGAACTAGGTCATTGGTGTGGACACATAACATTTGAAAATAACATTAGTTCGATTTTTGTGAGTAATTTAGCGAGTAGCGTTGCTATAGTTTTAAAAACAAGTAAACATCTAAATCATGTAGTCATTTAATTTGAGAAGTGTTGAATGTTGTTGTTGTTTCTTGTGTTCCTCGATAACCTTCCAAAGTCCGAGCTGTGACCAAGACAGTTAGTCGGGACATTTAAAAATTACTGTAAACCGCTGAAAGTCGACCGCACAAACGGTATACCCATTTTCCAGTCGTTCGGTCGAGCCCGGCTTATGCGGTTGAACGGTCGTCACTCCTCGTGTACTTGGATGTAAATATGATACATACATACATATATGATGTGCCCACTCGGTAAACCGGATGTGCGGGGGTAGGTGTATACTTATCGGAAGTTATCGGACCAAATATAGGTATTGTGTTGTGGTCATTACACCGGTATTGAAGTTTGCTATTACTAATAATACAATATTGGTTTGTTTGTTTTTGTTTGCCGACCAAATAATAATATTGGACGGTTTTATTTTTTATTCCCACGCAACACTTTTACTCTCTTCGTTGGCGTGGCCATTAGTTTTCGATTGCCGGAAGACCTTGTTTTTTTTTTTGTTTTCGATAACCGTATTATCGTCGAATCGAGCCTTTGATCTGAAATGTATATTATATTGATGTTGTTTATTATTATCGACGGATAATGGATTTTCTTTTTGCGGAGATTGCATCGAATACAGACTACATACAGACTTAGGGCCGCCTCCGCCGACAAAATCCAAAACGCGGGTTTAATTGAAATATTTAAATATAAATCGATATCAATTTGGAAGCGACCCAACATAGGATACAATATAGGGAGAGCAACGGCGGTACGTCTACTTTTATATAGGTTCATTATAAAATACTGTTGCGAGTCGCAGAGATGGGGGGAAAAAAATAATATTAAGCTCTTCGGCTCGGCGGCGATCGGTATCGAATTTGCGTTAGGAATCCATTTATTTACGCCGCCCGTAAGTACATATAGTCAACGGCAAGAACTTTGCAAACGATTTTCGCTTTATACTCGTCCGTTGGATGGATTTCAGTTAGGTATAACGAACGAACAAGGAAGCGTGCGACTTTGGAATTTGCAAATAATTCACACTTAGAGCAGACAAATCCTCAGAGGCATCCCCAAAAGTACCCGACTAATAATAATATGATGTCGTCTGTGTATTTATGTAAAGTGAGAAAATATTATATTTATCATACCGGAGAACGGACAGGGAAGATTTGAAATATATATATATTATATCATTTATTTCATTTATATAATAACATGCCACAGGGTAACCGAGTGTCGGAGAGAAAATAAATTTGCATATTTGATTTGAGACGTGGTAGTTGGTACCTACGTCTTAT